CAAAGAGCAGGATTATGAGAGCAAGGGAAGCAGCCGAGAGTTAAGCCTTCTGACTCAGGCACTGATTAACCTGAGCCAGAGCAGAAGGGAATGGCTTTGGCTCTGCTGGGAAGTGAAGCATGGCTTGCCTCCCGTCTTCCTCGGCAGAGGATGCAGGGGAGGTCAGGTGCGAGGGAGGCCCAGTGTTTCTCAGCCAAATTCAGCAGCTCAAGAGGAAGAGGTTCTCTCTTCTCAAAAAAGGTCCTGGATCAGAGCAGACGGCGTTTTCCAGGTCCGTGAGGAGCTGCAGCGGAAGCAGAACCCAGAAGGGGAGCTGGAGCCATCCCACTTTGGGACCAGATCCCAAGAAGATCCAGGCCAAGGGGCTCCTGTGGGCAACTCCCTGCACATGGACTCCAAAGGTATATGTAGACATCCTCTCTTTATGGGGATGGATGTTTGAGATTATTGCCAACCCATCAACAGTTGATTTATTTGTCGTGTCAGGGCGCAACCAGTCAATTGTATTACATTTCTAACAGAACAAAACAAACAAACGGACAAAATACAAAATTTGCGAGTTTGGTAGTTGATTAAATGTCCTTTGACCAGTATCTGGCCACTTGGAGTGCTTCTGGTGTTGCTGCAAGAAGGTCCTCCATTGTGCATGTGGCAGGGCTCAGGGTGCATTGCAGCAGGTGGTCAGTGGTTTGTTCTTCTCCACACTCGCATGTTGTGGATTCCACTTTGTGGCCCCATTTCTTGAGGTTGGCTCTGCATCTCGTGGTGCCAGAGCGCAGTCTGTTCAGTGCCTTCCAAGTCGCCCTTCTTCTGTGTGCCCAGGGGGGAGTCTCTCATTTGGTATCAGCTATTGATTGAGGTTCTGGGTTTGAGCCTGCCACTTTTGGACTCTCGCTTGCTGAGGTGTTCCAGCGAGTGTCTCTGTAGATCTTAGAAAACTATTTCTTGATTTAAGTCGTTGACGTGCTGGCTGATACCCAAACGGGATGAGCTGGAGATGTCTCTGCCTTGGTCCTTTCACTATTGGCTGCTACTTTCCGGTGGATGTCAGGTGGTGCAATACCGGCTAAGCAGTGTAATTTCTCCAGTGGTGTAGGGCGCAGACACCCCATGATAATGCGGCATGTCTCATTAAGAGCCACATCCACTGTTTTAGCGTGGTGAGATGTGTTCCACACTGGGCATGCGTACTCAGCAGCAGAGTAGCATCGCGCAAGGGCAGATGTCTTCACTGTGTCTGGTTGTGATCCCCAGGTTGTGCCAGTCAGCTTTCGTATGATATTGTTTCTAGCACCCACTTTTTGCTTGAATCAACAGTTGAGTTGCTGCTTTGTGTAGGAGATGGATGGGCTTACTTTTGCATAAGCCCCTTGTCCCAGCGGTTGGCCTTTCCCACTCACCGTTCCCTCTTCCTTTGCAGGAATGGTGCTCATTGTCTCCACCGAGGACCAGGACCCCCAGCAGACAGGGCCCAAGGGGCCAGAAACATCCTTCCTGCAGCGACAGAGGAGAAGGGTCAGCCGTACCTGTGTCAGTGGCAAGGGTAAGTGGCCAAGGCACTTGCTGACAGCAAAGAAAATGCATTGGATTCATGTCTTGTTTATGGCAAGGTTTGGACCTTAGAATCAATCATCATCCCTGAACATCTGGGTCAACTTATCCATGGGTCAGTGTGAGTACTGTACCATCACACTTTTTTTGTAACATTTTTATTGATGGATTTTATAAGGTTAGAAAAGTAAGGTTTGTACATCGAAAGTGGGAGAACGTTGTAGTCAATAGGAAAGTAGTAGGAAAGGAAAGGAGAGCCTTCCCACACACACACACCCCCTTCAAGAGAAGGGGGAAAAAGAGAGGGGAAAAACCCCCAGGGTAGAGTCAGTTGGAAAGAAAAAGAAATGTATATTCAATGAAAGATAAAAATAAAAAAATAAAAATTAGAAAAAAATAAAAAATAGAAAAAATAAAAAATAAAATAAAAAACTCTTATCCAGACAGGAACCTCCCCTTCTCTGAGGAGAGTGGCAAAAAGGGAAGAGCTTTATTTATTTATTTATTTATTTACGACATTTATATCCCGCCCTTCTCACGTCGAAGGGACTCAGAGTGGCTTACAAGCAATATGTAAATACAATATATTGTATTATTAGCATAGCACAATATTAGTATTATATATTACTATGTTGTACTATACCATTCTACTGTAATATTATTAGTAATATTACATATAATATAAAATATATAATTATAATATCATACTATTATTAGTATTACATTGTAATATTTTCAATATTATATGTATATACAATATATTATGTTATATTATATTATATTATATTATATTATATTATATTATATTATATTATATTATATTATTAGCACAGCACAGGAGACACGATGGAACTGTCTTCCTAGCCCCTCTCTTCATTCTGGACCCAGAGCAGCAGTTGGTGCGGGGGGGAGGGGCTCCCAACAGAATTCCCTCTGCTCTCTCTGCCCTGTTTCTGGACTTTTTGGGTGCCTGTGGTGGCTGGAAAGGACCACCACAGGTGTTCACAATCAGGGCCAGCTAACACCCCCAACAAAGGATTGCCCCAGGCAGTATTCAACCAGGCCTTGAAACTTCAAGCATTTGCAATGCTAATCATGGTGATTAATTGCAACATTCACACTTGCCTCCAACAGACAAGAATTATTTCTCCCACTCTGGACATTATTCCACAGATATATAAACCCCACTTGCCTAGTTTCCAACAGACCTCACAACCTCTGAGGATGCCTGCCATAGATGTGGGTGAAATGTTAGGAGAGAATGCTTCTGGGACATGGCCAGAAAAGCCCAGAAAATTCACAACGACCCAAGAGTAATAATTTTCTAATATCTAAAGAAATACTTGCAGGACCAGCAAGCAAGAGTCCAAAAGTGGCAGCCTCACAGCAACCCATAGAATAATAGAATCCTAGAGTTGGAAGCGACCTCGTGGGTTATCCAATCCAACCCTATTCTTCCAAGAAGCAGGAAAATCACATTCAAAGCACTCCCAACAGATGACCATCCAGCCTCTGTTTAAAAACCTTCAAAGAAGGAGTCTCCACAACACTCGGGGGCAAAGAGTTCCACTGCTGAACAGCTCTCACAGTCAGGAAGTTCTTCCTAATGTTCAGATGGACCCTGTCTACTCTTCAGGATCTGACTGTCCTTGAAGGATGCAGCTCAGGAAGCCTGAGAGCATTCGTAACTGAGAAGACTGTTCTTGTTTGGTTTCCTAGTATTTTTTTTATTATGTAGAGCTGCCTTTCTGCAGAGGAGTCAGTCTGGTGAGCAGACAAAAGGCACCTGCAGAGGGTGGTGTCATGCCAAGCGCTCAGGTAGGAAGCCTTCAGAGGAGGAGGAGGAGGAGGAGGAGGAGGAGGAGGGGTGGGTGTGTTTGTGTAGGGGACACCTGAGGTCCTGCAATTGGACCAGGATGAGAACAGCCCCAGGGCCACCAAGTGGGTGTATCTGGAGGGAAGCAGCAGAAGAGGCGGAGGCTGTGGTGGTTGCAAAGGCAATGGGTGCAAAGGCAGTCAGGTGCAGGCTGGCTTTCAAATCCACCAATGGGCGTCCAGCGCCTTTTGTCCTGTTCAAACAGTGGCGGTTAAAGGCTGGGCCCGGCTGCGTGCCTGGGATTTAGAGAAGGCGAAATGGCTCTCTGTTGATGGACAGCCTCCTCCTCTTTCTCCTTTTGTGAGGGGAAGAGAGGGGGTCATGGAGCTCAGCCCTGTCCCCGCAGCCTCCCTCTGTGCCAGGACGGACAGCGGCCGCTTGGAGCCTCCATTTTATCTGACAACCTTTGGTGAGTTTGGGGGGAGGAATGGCAGGCTGGGGAGGTGTTTGCTGTTGCTGTGTCTGGTTGCCAGGGCCACAGATGGGGGGAGACCAGAGTGGCAGTGCCAGTAGGAGTGGCCAGCTCCCCACAACCTCCTTCTCACAGAGTGTCAGGATTGCCTTCATGTTGAAGATCCAAGAAGTCTTCTCTCTGACACTAGAGGGGGATAGTGTCTTAGTTAGGATAGCTAACCTTGATAGATTAGTTTATGGTAGGGCCATCTGGAGCCAAGCTTTGCTTTGAAGCCGTGGGAATAGAATTCTAGTCTAAACTGTGATAAGGGGGAGAAGGAGGGGGGAGTGAAGAGAGAAGGGGAGATCTAGTGATTCTTGGCGGGAATTCTCAGTTCTGTCTTTGCCTTCCTTCTGTATGGACTGAAATAAACTGAATTTCCAAGGAACGTTCTTTGTGAGTGCAAGTTTTATTCTAAGACCCAGCAGGACCTGACATAAAGACAGAACTCACAACTATTGCTCTACTTGTGAGGATTACAACCATCCAGGAAGGAAGCATGTTCCAGGAAGAAGAAATCCAGATGGGAGCAGAGGGTAGCATTGGCGCTTCCTCGCACCCTGGGATGGAAGATGAGGGGCTTGAGGACAAGGGATCTGCCCACGACGGGGACCTCGGGTTGGAGAGAGAACCCCCAGTAATACCTGAAGACTGGAGAGTCCCAATAACTTCTACGCAGATGCCCTCGGGGAAGGATGTAACCGTGAGGCGCAAGTTACCCATGCGGGAAACCCTGGAGCCTCTCAGAGAACCCTCGCCCCTCAGCAGTGCATCAGCGCTGCCCACGCACCACTATGCAGAAAAGGTGGATGCAATGGAGAGAATGCTGCAAACTTTTTCATTTCAACTAGACGAGATGAGGAAGGAGGTGGCAGCATCGTGGAGAGCCACGCTGGAGGAGAGAGAACAGCGACGCTCTCAACCACAAGGTATGGGACGTGGGTATCGCCCCTCGGGGAGAGTGGTGTTCGCCATGGGAGGAGAGCAACCCCATTCCCCGCCCGGGACCATGGCATCTACTTCGGGATGGGCGGGGAGAAGCCAGCTGCATGGAGGCCCCGGGAGGGGAGAGCTGCGAGTAAAGTTCAATGGAGACCCCAAACAGCTCTCCTATTTCATCACCAACGTGAGACATTTTATGGAGGACTATGGTGATACGTTCCCCTCAGAGGGAGCCATGATCCATGCAGTGGGGGCCAATTTGAAAGAAGCTGCGGCCGATTGGCTCATGCAAATGTATGACACCCGAGCGCCGGAGTTGAGGAGTTTGGAAGGCTTCCTGAGAGCGCTACGGGAGAGATTTGAAGATCCCTTGGCGGAGGAGAAGGCAAAGGGACAGCTTAAAAAAATCTACCAGGGCAGCAAGACTGTCTCTGAATACGCCCTGGAGTTTAAAGCTATTGCAGGCCGCATTAGAGACTGGTCTGAAGCCACAAAGCTGGAATACTTCAGAGCGGGATTGCGCTCCGATGTGCTGGAGTGGTCGCTGCACCGAAGCAACCCCGCCACGCTCAAAGAATGGATAGTGCTGGCAGGGAGGGTCGAGTGTGACCAGGAACAGTTACCACGCAGAGCGAGAGAAAAAGGACGATCCAGGCACTCTGCAGGGGGCCCGCAGGGGGGTTCGAGACGCCCATCGCCCCGAGGAAGGTCAGCCAATCGTGAGAGGAAAGGGAAGAGGGGTCCCTGTTTCTCGTGCGGTCAGGAGGGACACAGAGCGGCGGAATGCCCAAGAGGGCGCAACCCCTCCAACGCTCCCAAGCCAGACAAGACCCCACCAGTGAGGCCCTCGTCAGGTTCCAAAGCCACGAAGGGAAAAGCCTCCTCAGCGATGGAAACTGCTTTGGCTCCGCACCAGTTCCCTGCAGAGATGGAGGCGGAACTGGAGGGGGATAGTGTCTTAGTTAGGATAGCTAACCTTGATAGATTAGTTTATGGTAGGGCCATCTGGAGCCAAGCTTTGCTTTGAAGCCGTGGGAATAGAATTCTAGTCTAAACTGTGATAAGGGGGAGAAGGAGGGGGGAGTGAAGAGAGAAGGGGAGATCTAGTGATTCTTGGCGGGAATTCTCAGTTCTGTCTTTGCCTTCCTTCTGTATGGACTGAAATAAACTGAATTTCCAAGGAACGTTCTTTGTGAGTGCAAGTTTTATTCTAAGACCCAGCAGGACCTGACACAGAGAGAAGGCGGTAGGAGGGTCCCCTGTCTCAGCCCATTCAGTGCCAGGGAAGTTGATGCTCCTGCTGTGTGGATCCAAAGGTACCCTGGGAAGCCAGGATGCACACACACCTTAACTTCTGCAGAGGCCCATGGAAGACGCATGTATTTATTTATTTATTTATTTGTGACATTTATATGCAGCCCTTCTCACCCTGAAGGAGATTCAGAGTGGCTTACAAGATACACACACACACATATACGCAACGTATTATGTTATTAGCATAGTACAATATCAGTATTAAATATTACTATATTGTACTATACCATTATTTCGTAATATTATTAGTAATATTACATGTAATATAAATATATAATTATAATATCATATTTATTTATTTATTATTTACTTTATTTATATACCGCTTTTCTCAGCCCTCAGGCGACTCAAAGCGGTGAACAACATCAATACAAAACATCACGAGACAAGTATAGGGCAATTAAAAACAATTGTAACATAAATCATTAAACATCCGTATAACAATCATTAGCGCCTCAACAGTAAAATCAGAATCCAGTCTCATCATCCATTATTCCGTATTCCTATGTTCAATTACACTGTTTAATCAAATGCTTGTTCAAACAGCCAGGTCTTCACTTTCCTCCGAAATGCCAGCAGGGAGGGTATCTGCAGGCAGGGCATTCCACAGCCGAGGGGCCACCACTGAGAAGGCCCTGTCTCTCGTCCCCGCCAAGCGCGCCTGTGATGCAGGCGGGACAGAGAGCAGAGCCTCCCCAGATGATCTTAGTGTCCTACCCGGTTCATAGGAGGAGATGCGTTCGGAGAGTAAGTAGGGCCAGAACCGTTTAGGGCTTTATAGGCTAGCACCAGCACTTTGAATTGTGCCTGGTAGCAAACTGGCAGCCAGTGGAGCTGGCGCAACAGAGGAGTTGTATGCTCCCTGAGTGCTGCTCCTGTTAGCAACCTGGCTGCTGAACGCTGGACCATTTGAAGCTTCCGAGCAGTCTTCAAAGGCAACCCCACATAGAGCGTGTTGCAGTAGTCTATATGGGATGTAACCAGAGTGTGGACTACTGTGGCCAAGTCAGACTTCCCAAGGTACGGGCGCAGCTGGCGCACAAGTTTTAACTGTGCGCGGCCACCACTGAGACCTGGGGTTCCAGGCTCAGCGATGAGTCCAGGATCACTCCCAAGCTGCAAACCTGTGTCTTCAGGGGGAGTGTAACCCCATCTAACACGTTGTAACCCTATGCCTTGTTTGGTCTTTCGACTGGACAGGAGGACCTCTGTCTTGTCTGGATTCAATTTCAATTTGTTAGCCCTCATCCAGTCCGACACAGCGGCCAAGCACCGGTTCAAGGTCTGAACAGCCTCCTTAGTAACGGATGGGAAGGAGTGACAGATTACGTCATCTGCGTACAGATGACACCGTACCCGAAACTCCGGATGATCTCCCCCAGCGGCTTCATGTAGATGTTAAACAACATGGGAGACAATATTGATCCCTGTGGAACCCCACAAGACAATGGTTGTGGGGCAGAACAGGTGTCCCCCAGCAACACCTTCTGAGATCGACCCTCTAGGAAGGACTGGAGCCACTGCAGAACAGTGCCTCCAAGGCCCATTCCCGCGAGGCATCCCAGAAGGATACCGTGGTCGACGGTATCGAAGGCCGCTGAGAGGTCCAGCAGAACTAACAGGGACACACTCCCCTGTCTAGCTCCCGGCGTAAATCATCCACATATTATTATTAGTAGTAGTATTATATGGTATTATATTATAATATTATAAATATTATATGCATATACAATATATTGTATTACGTTATATTATATTATTAACATAGCACAGGAGAGAAAGTGGAACTGTCTCCTGGTCCCCTCTCTCTCCACTCTGGCCCAGAGCGACAGTTGGTGATGGGGGGAGGAATCTACTACCGATGACATATGCAGGAGACAAGATGGAACTGTCCCCTGGCCCCCTCTCATTTCACTGTGGCTCAGACTGGCAGGGGCCCCCAGCTGATGACATATGCAGGAGACTAGTGTATTCTTGAGAAAAGTGTATTCTTGACACACCAATACAGGGTTAATCACGGTCCGGCTCTAATTTGGGCCACACCGTTCTTGGGCTGGGTTAGAGGAGCACAGATAGGCACCACTGGCTTCCTCTCAGGGCTTACTCTGAGTGGGCCACTGGTGGCCGGCTGAAGGTGGTCCCATCCAGGCCTCAGAGAAGCCAGAACTCTATAAAGCAGAACTGTTCTGCTGTAAGCATTACGGATTCTCTTGACATCTTGATAGCATCTTGCCATGGATTTCAAGAGAACAAGCCTGTCTCCCACTGAGGTTCACCTCAGACTGATGTGCTACTAAGCTACATGCACATATGCTCGTATAGAGCTACCGCTTGTGCTGAGTCATTCCATAACAACTGTTTATGTTGTTTTTAGCACCCATGAACATTTTGTGGGGATGGCTAAGGTTGCCTTTTTGAAGTAAGCAGAGCAAGAGGGGCGGCTCCGTTGAGATCGTCATGCAAAGAGAGCCCCTTCCACTGCCATCATTGCACCATTGCACTCGCTGTGGCTGAAGCAGAGCAACCAACTGCCTGACATTGCTGAATCCAAGAAAAGGCTTTTTGGGTCCAGCTGGGGTCTCAACTGTCCCTTTCCATCCTTTATGCCTCCTTCACAGTGTTCCCACAGACCATTCCATGATTCCCAATGCAAATTCCCCAAGATCTATGCCTTGTCATGGTCTCCCTTTTCTCCTCCAGGGCAGCTGAAGCTTTCCATCCACACAGAAGGCAGGGACCTTCTGCTCTATGGTGAGTAGCCACTTGGGCCCAGGGAATGGAGTGGGAAGCAGCCCAGTTACATCATCATCATCATCATCACCATTGTCAAAGGCTTTCAAGGCCAGAATCGCTAGGTTGCTGTGAGTTTTCCAGGCTATCCTGCCATTTTCCAGAAGCATTTCCTCCTGAACTTTTGCCCACATCTACAGCAGGCATCCTCAGAAGTTGTGAGGTCTGTTGGAAACTAAGCAAGTGAGGTTAATACATCTGTGGAGAAATGTCCAGGATGGAAGAAAGAAATCCTGTCTGCTTGAGGCAGGTATGAAGATTGCATTTGGGCACCTTGATTAGCATTGAATGGCCTTGCAGCTTCAAGGCCTGTCTGCTTCCTGCCTGGGGCAATCCTTTGTTGGGAGGTGTTAGCTGGCCCTGATGGTTTCCTGTCTGGAATTCCCCTGTTTTTTTAGTGTTGCTCTTCATTTATTGTCCTGATTTTAGAGTTTTTTTAAATACTGGGAGCCAGATTGCCTAGTTTCCAACAGACCTCACAACCTCTGAGGATGCCTGCCAAAGATGTGGGTGAAACGTCAGGAGAGAATGCTTCTGGAACATGGCCATAGAACCCGGAAAACTCACAGCAACGCAGTAGCATTGTGGACGGAGCACAGTTCCAGTGGCGAATCAAAATCCTGAGTCCCAAAGTGTGATTTCATGAATGGGCATTCCAACACAAACAATTGCAAGGGACACCAAAATTTCGACTCTTCTCTCCCCACTTCTTACAGAGGAGTGGGAGTCGGTGGTCTTGGGCCATAGGGTGTCTCAGCCAGAGATTAGGCCCACAGAGCCTCCTGGCGCATTGCACTTTGGAGGGGCAGCGAATGGGGAATGACGCCAGCTGCTTTCCTGGAAGAAGGGGCTGGGGCCGGACAGGAGGAAGCGCAATACCCCCTGTAACTGTGGTCAGGATGTGGCCACTGATGCTGCGCTTGATGGCCTCCGGCATGGATCCCATCACCACGCGTTGGAGGAAGGCAGGCGCTCATACAAGGCAATTTGGCCTCTGGGCGCGGAACCGCATCTGCCTCCAACCCAACGCTCCGCTCAGGATATTTTTAGTAGGCTTTTACTAATGGCAAACATTATATTCTGCGTACAGATGCATGCACATGCATACCCCCCTCCTTTGCTTCTGCTTTGCCCACTCTCTTCACTGCTGGAGTCCTAAACAGAAAGAGCAGTGAGTTTTGCAAATGCATATTTATATAATACACTTTTTATTCCATGCCATTAACACCTTGCTTGTGTTGTTTTGGTTTACCACTGCAGATGTGCAGCCATTTTGGATTGCAGTGGTATCTCCCCTTCAACGTAGAAGGGTCAACAAATCTCTTCTACTTGTCAGCAGCAATCTCAAATGAGACTTTGTCCCAATGTAGTTGAGATTCAATTAGGGCAGAATTCTCAACCTTCCTAATTTTGCGCCCCCTGAATACAGTTCCTCATGTTGTGGTGACCCTCAACCTTAAGATTATTTTCGTTGCTACTTCCATAACTGTCATTATTCTACTGTTATGAATCGTAATATAAATAGGACGTATTTTCAATCACTGGACCACAAATTTGGCCCAAATTTGAATACTGGTGGGGTTGGGAGAGATTGCGTTTGTCCTTTGGGAGTTGTAGTTGCTGGGATTTATAGTTCACCTATAAATGAAGTTCAATCAAAGAGCTTTCTGAACTCCACCAACAATAGAATTGGACCAAACTTGACACACAGAACTCCCATGACCAACAGAAAATACTAGAAGGGTTTGGTAAGCACTGACTTTGAGTTTTGGTGGCTGGAGGGAGGCTCACGCCAGCGAGTCACTTCAAGGTATGGGTCATCTCTGTGTGGAAAGTTTGGCCCAATTCTGTCATTGTTGGGGTTCAGAATGCCCTTTGATAATAGGCAAACTATAAATCCCAGCAACCACAAATCCCAAATGTCAAGGCGTATTTTCCCCAAACTCCACCAGTGTTCACATTTGGGCATATTGAGGATTTGTGCCAAGTTTGGTCTAGATCCATCATTGTTTGATGTAGGTGAACTACAACTCCAAAACTCAAGTGATGGTCCCTCTTTGGCCTGATAGGTGTATTGTGTCCAAATTTGATGTCAATTAGTCCAGTGGTTTTTGAGTAATGTTAATCCCACAAAAGAACATTACATTTTTATTTATATAGATTTGTGCCAAATTTGGTCCAGGTCCATCATTGTTTGCGCCCACAGTGCTCTCTAGATGTAGGTGATCTACAAGTCCAAAACTCAAGGTCAATGACCACCAACCCTTTCCAGTATTTTCTTTTGGTCATGAGAATTCTGTGTGCCAAATTTGCTTCAGTTCCATCTTTGGTGGAGTCCAGAATGCTCTTTGATTGTAGGTGAACTATAAATCCCAGCAACTACAACTCCCAAATGTCAAGGTCTATTTCCCCCAAACTCCACCAGTGTTCACATTTGGGCATACTGAGTATTCGTACCAACGTTGGTCCAGATCCATCATTGTTTGCTCTCTAGATGTAGGTGAACTACAACTCCAAAACTCAAGGTAAATGTCCACCAACGCTTTCCAGTATTTTCTGTTGGTTGTGAGAATTCTGTGTGTCACATTTGGTTCAATTCCATCATTGGTGGAGTTCAGAATGCTCATTGATTGTAGGTGAACTATAAATCCCAGCAATTACGACTCTCAAATAACAAAATCAATCCCCCCCCCCCCCCCCCCAACCCCACCAATATTCAAATCTGGGCATATTGTGTATCTGTGCCAAATTTGGTCCAGTGAATGGAAATCCATCCTGCATATCAGATATTTACATTATGATTCATAACAGTAGCAAAATTACAGTTATGAAGTAGCAACGAAAATAATGTTATGGTTGGGGGTCACCACCACATGAGGAACTGTATTAAGGGGTCGTGGCATTAGGATGGTTGAGAAACACTGATTTGGAGCTTCGACTCAAATGAAGACCCTTGGCAGAATGGGAGGGAATGGAGGCAGGGAGAAGTGGAGCTGGAGGAGGATTATGTGGAGTCAGCAGAAGCTGGGATGCAAAGAACGGAGAAAGAGGCAGAGGAGGTGTGTGAGAAGAGAAAGGGGAAAAAGGAGAAAGAGAAGTAGCCAGCACAGGCCAACATGTCAGCGTTTGGTTAATGCTCTTGTTTTGCTTTCAGCAAAGGACGCTTCCCACTGTTTTCTTACATTTGTGATTTTGTCTCCCTTCAAGTCATGGAAGCCAGAGGCCTGTTGGGGAAGCAGTGCCAGATCTGTGACTCCTTTGTCAAGGTGCGCTCACTCACTCACTTATTTATTTATTTACAACATTTATATGCCGTCCTTCTCACCCCGAAGGGGATTCAGAGTGGCTTACAAGATATATATATATATATATATATATACAATATATTATATTATTAGCATAGAACAATATCAGTATTAAATATTACTATATTGTCCTATACCATTATATTGTAATATTATTAGTAATATTACATATAATGTAAATATATAATTATGAACTCATATTATTATTACTATTATATTGCATTACATTATAATATTATAAATATTATATGTATACCCAATATATTATATTACATTATATTATATTATTAGAATAGCACAGGAGACAAGGTGGAACTGTCTTCTGCCCCCCCCCCCATCTTCACCCTGGTCTAAAGCAGCAATTGATGCAGGGAGGAGGGGTCCGCAACTGATGACAGATGCTAGAGACAAAATGGAACTGTCCCCTGACCCCCCCCCTCACTCTGGCCCAGAGCGGCAGCTGGTGCTGGGGGGAGGGGTCCCCAACTGATGACATATGCAGGAGACAAGATGGTACTGTCCCCTGGCCCCTCTCTCTTCACTTACTTGCCTCTCCTTCAGGAAAGGTGCTTCTGTGGTTCAGCCTGGCAATCCCATAGCCCCCTTTCCCCCTAGAGAGCCCCTGTTACTTTTCCCCACCCCACATTCAGCTCAGGCGCTCCTCCAAGCCAAGCTGCTGACTTCGTTGTCTGTAGCCATTGATTTTTTTAACGCAGGGATGTATATAAAGAAGCAGAGCCCTCCCCTCTTTTCACTAGAAGCGGCTCAGCGGCAAGCCAGAAGCGCAGCATTGGGAAGCAGGTGTGAGGGGCATTCTTTGCCTTTGGTTGTTGTGGGGGCGGGGGGGGGGGGTCCTTTTCTGCTTCATGGGATTCTGCAGGGGCTGTTGGAAGTGGACCCTGCCCTGTTTTTCCTGAATGGGACTCTTACTGGCATAGCATCCATTGCTGTCTCCTTTTGTCATGCCCTGGGATCTCCAGCCACTTTAGGAAACTGATCCATCCTTGGGGCTGGCCTTAGAGAGCTGTAGGAAAACCTTGACGTCTTCTTTTTGACCCCCCACCCCACCCCCCAAAGTGTTGCGGGATCTCAGTCCATCAGAAAGCTGCTATTTTCAGAAGTAGTGAGCTGCTAGGATCTTGGCTCCGGTGGAAAAACGGGTCAATGTCTGCCTTGTTTCTCTTCCTCTCTCCATGAAAGGTGTCCCTTGTGCCAGACGCCGGCCGGCAGTGCAGGCAAAAGACCCAGATTGTCCCAGACAGCAAGAACCCCGTCTTCCACCAGCGCTTCGTCTTGTAAGTATGGGGCACCGGGGGGCGGGGGCGGGATATCTGTGTCTCCCCTCCTGTTGTAGTGCCTGCACTTGGTCTCTCTGGGGATTCTGGGCCTGTTAGTGATTCTTATGACACTGGGGATTCTGGGTCTGCTAGTCAGCAGGAGAGTCAGCAAGAGATTTTAAGCCCCAAAAAGGAGCGGTCTGTGTCTGAAGGCCACATTCCTGAAAGGCAGTTTGCTAGGAAAGCAAGGTCAGGAACCGATCTGAGCTCAGAGGATGAAAATTAAAATCCAGGTGGACAGACTAATGAGCAGTTAGATAGGAGATCTACATTCCGTCAACACAGAGCTTCTCAGGAGAATGTAGGAAAGTCAAAGTGCCTATTAGCCAAGAAGTCCTTATCAGTTTCCCAGGGAAGAAGGTATTTATTTATTTATTTATTTATTTATTTATGTGCAGTATTTATATTCTGCCCTTCTCACCCCACAGGGGACTCAAGGAGGATCACAATGCACATATACATGGCAAACATTCATTGCCATAGACCAGGGGTCCTCAAACTATGGCCCGTGGGCCACTTCCGGCCCGCCAAGGGCACTTATCCGGCCCGCGGAGGAGGAGCGCCCCCCCTCCATACAGTGCCCCTCCCTTGGCTGGCTCACGCTATCTGTCAGGCCCGATGGGCAGCATGAGCCAGCCAAGGGCAGCTGCTCCGCGCGGCCTAGTCGCGCGTAAAGCACCTCGCGAGGTGCTTTACGCGAGTGTAGGCCGCACGGTGCTGCTCCTCCCTTGGCAGGCTCACGCTGCCCATCGGGCCCGATGGGCAGCGTGAGCCAGCCAAAGGGAGGCTGCCCCGGTGCTCCATGCAGTCATGCCGGCCACATGACCTTGGAGGTGTCTACGGACAACGCCGGCTCTTCGACTTAGAAATGCAGATGAGCACCACACCCCAGAGTCAGACACGACTGGACTTCATGTCAGAGGAAAACCTTTAACTAGGAAAATTGTGGAAGATCCAGGGTGGGAGAAAGAACTCTTGTCTGTTGGAGGTAGGTATGAATGTTTCAATTGGCCACCTTGATTGCCATTTCATAGCCTGACAGTTTTTAGGGAGAATCCTTTGTTGAGAGGTGATTAGCTGGCCCTGATTGTTCCTTGTCTGGAGTTCCGCTGTGTTTGAGTGTTGTTCTTTATTTACAGTTATAATTTTAGAGTTTTTTTAATACTGGTAGCCAGATTTTGTTCAGACTAAAAATAGGAAGATTTCCCATTCTCTGCTCCTGGAACTACTGCCTAAAGAGGGCTAGAAAGAACCCCCTCTAAGGGCCCTTCCACACAGCAAAATAAGATATGTGCAATGTGCATAGGAATTTTTTAATTGATTTTTTTTTAAAAAAACTATAGTCCGGCCCTCCAACGGTCTGAGGGACAGTGAACTGGCCCCCGGTTTAAAAAGTTTGAGGACCCCTGCCATAGACACACAACATATATAGACGGCGGCACAGAAGCTATTTAACTTTCCAGCTTCATGAGAGTATGCTTTTTGAATTCCGGCCACCGGGGGTGCTGTCGCTTCACCATCGACTTGTGACACCGATGGAGTACTTCCTCATTCTTTTGCATACTGCTGGAGAGTTTTATGGTGTTGTAAATTAATTAAATTAGCGCCCCTCATAAGCAGTACCTATTTCCTATTTGACAGGTTTATTTATTTATTGTGTCAGGAGCAAACCAATCAGTTGTACTGCATTTTTTAACAAACAAACAAACAAAACACAAAGTTTGCAAGCTTGGTAGTTGATGAAATGTCCTTTGACCAGTAGCTGGCCACTTGGAGTGCCTCTGGTGTTGCCGCGAGAAGGTCCTCTATTGTGCATGTAGCAGGGCTCAGGTTGCATTGCAGCAGGTGGTCTGTGGTTTGCTCTTCTCCGCACTCGCATGTCGTGGATTCCACTTTGTAGCCCCATTTCTTAAGGTTGTCTCTGCATCTCGTGGTGCCAGAGCGCAGTCTGTTCAGTGCCTTCCAAGTCACCCAGTTTTCTGTGAGCCCAGGGGGGAGTATCTCATTTGGAATCAGCCATTGGTTGAGATTCTGGGTTTGTGCCTGCCACTTTTGGACTCTCGCTTGCTGAGGTGTTCCAACGAGTGTCTCTGTAGATCTTAGAAAACTATTTCTTGATTTAAGTCATTGACGTGCTGGCTGATGCCCAAACAGGGGGCAGATGCAACTGTCTTTTGGGCTGCAAAGGTCGACAGCAAGCTAGACAAATGGCCGGAAGCTCACTCCTACCCGGTCTGGCTTCGAACTCATGACCTCTCGGTCAGTAGTGATTTTAATGCAGCTGACTCCCAACCAGCTGCGCCACAACCCGATGGTATTCTCTCTATATTAGCTAGCCCGGTAGATGGGTCCGTCAGTCCAAGCAACATTGGTGATTGAATATAGATCTATTGACAAGTCAAGGCATTTCTAGTTCCACATTCCATATTTCCTTTTGTTCATGATTCCAAGTTTTGAGAACTGTTCCTGAATCTCATATTTTGGATTTATTCTATTTTTGTATTCCTGGTTTTTGATGCTACTCCTGTACTTTGATTTCTGTGGATTATTCTTGATATTTGGATTTTGCTTTTTCATACTATTTTGCTGAATTTCATATATATTTTCCAATAAACGGCATTGTTATTTTACCTTGGACTGGAGTGTGTGTTAAGTACAGAGGGGGTTCCCAGCCTTGGAATGTGACCATCTATCCCATTCCTGTCTGCTCCATCGATAGTGTTGTCCCTATGGTGCACTTTCCCCCGTCCTAAACTGAAAGCCTACCTCACTGTTTATCCTTTTTGGGCTCCCCGCAATTGCATATTTTCTTGTCCAAACTCATCCAGGGTTTTATCATTTTACCTCGTTCATTCGGCCCGCCCGTTCTGCTCGATTATATATTGTGTTAACTTTTTTTATTTTATTGTGCTATTGTACGTATTTTATTCTAATGTAATTTTGTTGTCTGCGTCTTATATTGTATTTTGCTGTATTGTACTGTTGGGTTTGGCCTTTTGTTAGCCACCCCGAGTCCCCTTTGGGGAGATGGTGGCTGAGTATAAATAAAGATGATGATGATGATGATGGTGATGATGATGATGATGATGATGATGATGATTGTTATTGTTATTATTGCAATGCAACACTTCCTCTTTAAGAGCCCATGCTTTGCCTTGGCTCCCCTATTTGTGAGGCTGGGAGCCTCACAAAAGCAGTGAATAGACACACACACACACACACTGCTGTGTTGTCTCCACCCGAGGCGTTTAGTTTCTAATTGGGATGCTCCTCTGCTTCCGAGCAGCACTGGCTAGTGGATAAGGCTTTTCTAAGCTCTGGGCCGCCTACAATGGGACTGTGAAGTGGGAGTCCAGGTCAAGAGGAGGGTTGACCCTTTGCGGGAATGACCTCCAGAAGAGTGGCCTCAGAGGGTTTACAGCTGGCTCTCCCTTGCTCTGTGTTGCAGCCCTTTGCGAGAGGAGGATGAGCAGAAGCGCCTCGTGGTTACTGCCTGGAACCGGACACGGGGCTCCAGGTGAGGTGGCATGGGGAGGGCGGCTGGGAAGATTCCTCCGCTGGCCCTACTTGCTCAAGGGGCTTCTCCCCAGAGAGGACATGCTCATACGTCCCCCATCCCAACTGGCTCCATTTTCACACAGAGGTTAGGTGAGATCAGGCCACACTTCTAACAAGCCACATGGGACCAGCAGAGGACAGGCAGAAGGGGGGCTGGAAGGGGTCCGAGGGTCTGGCCTAGAACAGAAGCCAGGAAACGGAGTGTTAGCTGGACCATGCTCCCCACAGATCGGCCTCTTGTTGGCCTCAGATCCACTCACACCCTCTGGGCCAATCTGCTGCCCTCTCATGATGCCTTTTCTGGGAGTGACGTGTTAGGGAAAACCATTACCTTCCCGTAGAAACAGTACCTATTGATCTACTCACATTTGCATGGTTTTGAACTGCTAGGCTGGCAGCAGTTCAATCTGGTACCCAGATTCAATCTGCCAACCTTTTGGGCAGCATGTTCAGCAGCTCAGAGGTTTGATCCGCTGTGCCGCCAGGGCCCCTGTTTCAGGAGATGGGGGAAGGGAATTCCCTCAGCCTCTACTAAATCCGGGGAGTGGCGTGAGCTTCCGCTGTTAGCCCCAGCTTCTGCCAACCTAGCAGTTCGAAAACATGCAAATGTGAGTAGATAGGGAAGGTAAAGGTGCTCCATGCAGTCATGCTGGCCACATGGCCTTGGAGGTGTCTACAGATAACGCCAGCTCTTTGGCTTAGAAATGTAGATGAGCACCAACCTTCAGAGTCGGACACGACTGTACTTAATGTCAGGGGATAACCTTTACCTTTATTTATACTAAACCTCATTGAGGACCTGAGACTTGGGCAGTGTGGGGTTGAGGAAGGGTGGGAGTAGCCACTGCTCACCCCTCTCCAACTGATTCCTCTCCAGGCAGAGCAGACTCATCGGCTGCATGAGCTTCGGCGTGAGGAGCCTCCTGAGCCCAGGAAAGGTACCAATGGCCCTGGGGTTGGAGGTTGTGGGGCAGAGGGCATGGGGGAATATGTAGCACCTGCCTCTAAGATGGGAGCCTAAGACCTGAAGGACCAGAGAGTGGAATGCCAACAGATCAGGATACCCTGAGAGTTGCTTGGCTGAGTGGACCTTTGCACCCACGTCCAGTCTCCATGTTGCTTCTCAGAAATTGGCGTCATGATGAAAATGCTTGGTATTTTTGCTCCTTACCATGACTCCATTAGGAAAGGCACTTTTTAGTGTGTTTTGCAGACGAGGAAAGAAGGGAAGGACATGAGGTAGGGAGAGAGAATGCATTTTGCCTTTGGCCACAGAGCGAAGCCTCCACGTCTTCCTGGCGCATCCCGCTCTGCCCTGCGCCTGCTCTCTTCTTGCTGAGCCCCTTTCAGCTCCCGCCTTTGAAATTCACTTCCAAGGTAACCTCCCCTTACAGCTATTACTAAACACGAAGGAACCAAATCTGAATAATATTAACTGGCGACTCGTCTTCGTTTCAACAACTTCCGCTCTATTAAATTCTTTCAACCCAACAGCAATTCAGACGGTCAAAATAAACAATCCCGATTTTAGAGATGGGTTGGTTTTGCTGCGGAGATGTTTAGAGGCTCTCCCCCTCTTTCCTTTCGTTCTGTTGTGGAATAATTGTCGGAGTGGGGAAGGCAGGTGCTGCTTTTGTGAGTGTGTTTGTGTGGAGGGAGTACACAAAAATACATATACAGTGTTCCCTTGCTACTTTGCGGTTTGCTTTTTGCAGATTCGCTGTTTCGCGGATTTTTGAATGGTTGCCGTTGCCCAGAACGGCATTTTAATCCCGCCTCCTGGCAACGATATAGTGTGGAAGGGGGTTTCACCCTCCCCCTTGGGAAAGAGGCAGTCAATCAAGAGAGAAAGGAAATACAAAGCAGTATGTAAATCATGGCCTTATAGCCCCTTCCTTATAGCTAGCAAAAATAAAAAGGCGTGTGGTGCCTTTAAATCTCTCCTTTCTTCTGTCTCACCCTCGGAATGCAATATACATACAGTGTTCCCTCGCTGCTTCGCGGTTCACTTTTAGCGGACTCGCTGTTTCGTGGGTTTTTGAAAATATTAATAATAAAATATTAAATATTTACATCCAGGGAGGCCAGGGTCTCTGGAAGTGTGGCGGCCTGAGGTGCAGTGGGGAATAACAATCTATATAAATAAAAATGTAATGTTCGTTTGTGGGATTAACAGAACTCAAAAACCACTGGGGGAATTGACACCAAATTTGGACAACATACACTTAAAACCCAGTATATGTCCTTCACTAAAAAAAAATGAGTTTGTCATTTGGGAGTTGTAGTTGCTGAGATTTATAGTTCACCTACAATCAAATAGCACTTTGAACTCCACCAATGATGGAATTGAACCAATCATTGGCAGATAGGACTCCCATGATGACAGAAAACACTAGAAGGGTTTGGTGGGCATTGGCCTTGAGTGTGGGAGTTGTAGTTCACCTACATCCAGAGAGCACTGTGGACTCAAATAATGATGGATCTGGACCAAACTCTACACGAATACTCAATATGCCCAAATGTGAACACTGGTAGAGTTTGGGGAAAATAGAATCTTGACATTTGGGAGTTGTAGTTGCTGAGATTTATTGTTCACCCACAATCACAGAGCATTCTGAACCCCACGAACGATAGAATTGGGCCAAACCTCCCACACAGAACCCCCATGTGGGCCACAGCAACGCGTGGCAGGGGACGGCTAATAATAATAATAATAATAATAATAATAATAATAATAATCTTTAATTATACCCCACCACCATCTCACCAACGTAGAATCGGGGCGGCTTACATGAGGCCAACACAAACACATTACAATAAAATAAAATAAAACAACAACACAATAAAATACATAAAACATGAGAATACAGTAAACAATATAAAATATAGGAAGTCATTCACAAACCCAGTGACATTAAGCAGGCCACATATACAGGATAAAATACTAAAAACTCAGGATGAGATAGGAATGGCGCAGATCATTTGTAAAGGAGAGTGCGGGGGCATAGAAAATGGGGGCGTAGAAAAAGGCCTTCATACAGGCATAGGAATTTACTGTAGGGAAAGCCTGCCTCCCTGGCCTGCACAGACCTCAGAAGTGTGGCGGCCTGAGATGCGGTGGCCTGCTGCTGCCTGAGTGGCTCCGGAGGCTAGGGAGGCAGGCAGGCGTCCTTGGGGTGGGCCGGGAGGCGAGTAAAGAAGCGCGGGTAAGAAAATAATATATATAATATATAAAATAATGTATAAATATTAAAATTAATATGGCTTCCCTACTTTGCAGATTTTCACTTATTGCGTACGGTTCCAAAACAGAGCCCCTGCAATATTTATTTATTTAGGGCTTTTATATCCCGTCCTTTCTCACCCTCCGCAGAGGGACTCAGGACGGCTAACAAAGAGGCGCCCCATGGCGGCCACATCAAAACATAAATATACTATTGACAGCAATGTAATAATAACAACAATATTAAAAAGTATAAAACCGTATAAACAATATAAAAACAGACAACAACTAGTCAAGGAACACTGTATATAGCATCCCTACTTTGCAGATTTTCACTTTTTGCGGGTGGTCCTGGAACGTAACACCCACGATAAGTGAGGGAACACTGTATATGCGTGGTTGAAAGTATGTGTTGAACACTCCCTTGCCCACAAGTGTGAGATGGTGGTGGGATGGATAGTAGGCCGTCTCCGGATGGGGCGTGCTAAATTTCTTTTTGAAACGGATCTTCAAAGCCAAGGCTGTTTTGAGTGTGTTTTGAAATGGGGCTCTAGTCCTGAGGCTCAGCCCCAGAAGAGGCTCTAGACCCCAAGCACTGACTACTATGCCTTTTGGGTGGAGGGAAAGGCTGGAGGAGGAACCCATATGGATCTTCCAGTCCAACAGAGCAGGGTCTCTGAGCCCAAGCGCTTCCTGTGTATCTTTGTAGTCTCAGGAGATCAGCGGATGGTATTACCTGCTGGGGAAGGACCTAGGCAGAACGAAGCACCTGAAGGTGGCCACAAGGCGGCGCCAGCAGCAGGAGCGAAGGCCAGAAGTCACAGGTGAGTCTGGATGGGGCTTAAGTCCGCTCTCTACCTCCTGGACCCAGAGACAGAGGGTGGGAACCCATCTTTGAAGCCCAACTGAGCTGAGAAGCCAAAGGGTCCAGAGATCAATGTCCTTGCTGGTTTTTTTTCTCCCCTCTTTTGCAGAGCCAATGATGTCTGCCCAGCCGGTTGTGTTCCCGGGAAAGCAGCAAAAGGAGAACATGGAAGAGCTCAAGGTAGATTGGATTATTGCTTGGATTATTGATCGGATTATCTACAAGGGTTGAATGAAAACTAATGCCTCCACCTTCATAACTCCTCAACAGATAGCAGTACTCGTCTGCAGCAGGTACTGGCTTCTTTAGTAGACTCTCCTCTACACTTCCATTTTGGCAGGAAGCCTTAGCATTGAATGGTTGTGTTGTTAAAGTGCGAAGTATGGAACTCTGTGCAGACGGTCAATTAATGAGACTTAAGCAACGTGCAGTCATTGAATTCTTGACAGCAGAAGGTGTCACCCCAAAGGAGAATAATAATAATAATAATAATAATAATAATAATAATATAATAATAATAATTTTTATTTATACCCCGCCACCATCTCTCCAATGGGGACTCGAAGCGGCTTACATGGAGCCAAGCCCCGACAAGATATTACATCAAAATAAAACCAAAACATAAACAACAAGCTACATCATCATAATTACATTAAAAACACATGAATACAATAACAAAATAACATTACAATAAACACAGTCGCAGTAACAGTGGGCGGGCCACATGTACAGGATAAAAAGTTTAAAAACTCTAATGAGATAAAATTAGGAGCAAGTTATTTGCATCGTGATTGTGTTGATGTGAGGATTGTGCGTTGCTGGGTGACTTTCAGGCATCAGCATCCTGGGTAGCCATTATGCACAGATCTTCCTATAGCCAAGCAATAATTTATTTATTTACAGCTTTTATATTCCCCCTTCTCACCCTGCAGGGGACTCAGGATGGATTACAGTGTACACATATAGGGCAAACATTCAATGCCAATTTTTGACATACAAACATATACAGACATACACAGAGGGTATTTAACTTTTTCTGGCCACCAGGGGAGCTGTCGCTTTCATCGTCCATCTGCGACGCTGATGAAGCACTTCCGCATTTCCCGCATGCTTCCCCGCTGGAATGCTTTGCTGAAGTCCTCTTTATGGCCTCATAAATCAGTTAATTTAGCCTCCCCACACTTTTTAAGGTGGTACCTAATTTTCCTACTTGACAGATGCAACTGTCTTTCGGGTTGCAAAGGTTGACAACAGGCTACACAATTGGTTGGAAACCCACTCCAACCCGGGCTTGCTTCGAACTCATGACCTTTTGGTCAGAGTGATCTTAATGCAGCTGACTCTCAGCCAGCTGCGCCACAATCCCGGTGGTTGTAGGTTTTTCAGGCTGTATGGCCATGTTCTAGAAGCATTCTCTCCTGACGTTTCACCTGCATCTGTGGCTTCGAACTCATGACCTTTTTGGTCAGTGATCTTAATGCAGCTGACACTCAGACAGCTGCGCCACAATCCCAGTGACTTGTGAAATGCCGATTATGCTTGAAATTTCTCTCTGAGTGATGCGACGATTGTCCTGAATCAATCTGTCAACCTTTTACTTGTGAAACTCGGTGGTTTCTGTCACAGGATGTCCAACTCTTTGTTTGTCACGCAAGTCAGATATTCCCACCTCAACATCTTTAAACTTTCTCGCCCAACGATGCACATCAGCACTCATCAACACAGACACCATAAACAGCTTGCATTCTCTGATGAATCTCCTTTGGCGGCTGTTAGGAATTGTGGGAGTTGCAGTCCAAAACACCCGGAGGGCCCAAGTTTGCGCATACCTGCCCTTTAGTAAGTGTTGTTTTGTGTAATCCCTTCTCTGCCTTCTGCCCCAGACGCCCACCTGCCCACCTTGAATTTAAGTGTGGGCCAACCCACACTTACCCCTTGCACATGTGCTCTGCCTTCACGGAGCCAAGGCAAGCCAGCCTCAGTGCTGTTGTCCTCGGGCGGCTTGTGGGAAGGAGGCGGCCTGTCAACGCCTGGGAACAAAGGCCGCCGCAGCCTGGGCTGAAGACCTGGCAGGAATCTCTCTCTCTCCCTCGCTATTTTCCCTCTCAGGAAGCCTGCCGCTTATCATCCAGCCGCACATGGTAGAAGTGGGGAGGGGGGCTTCCTGCCATTCTTCTGCCCAGCGCTGGGTTCCCAGGGGCAGCCGTGCCAAGACCGCCAGAGAGGCTCCTTCTCTCGGCTGCTGATAGGAGGCAAAGGAAGACACTCTCTGCTCTCCTTCAGCAGCACAGCCTTTGCGGCAGAAGGAGAAGGCAAAGGGAGGTGGGGGGTGATGGTTGAGCATTTCCCGGTTCGGCCGCGAGGAGCTCCCCGGCCTCAGGCATGAGCCGCTTCCCAGGGATGTGCAGAATGTGTGCGGAGCAGCGCTATCGACAGGTTGGTTGCGGTGAAGTGGAATCTGGTGTGCATGCATTCACCCCCCCCACCACCACCCTGTCTATGTATGTATGATGAAGGTGCTATTATTTATTATTTATGTACATTATTTATATTCTGTCCTTCTCACCCCGAAAGGGGACTCAGTGCGGATCACAGGACACAAATACGGCAAACATTCAATGCCGTTATACACTGACAAGATATAGGACCAGTATATATAGGCTTTCCCATCTTTGGAGGCTGGTGTTCGGTTGCTCCATTTTCCCTGCTAAAGAGTTTTGAATTGCCGGCATTTTCTTGGCTTAAGCGGTACCTATTTATCTACTCACATTGCTGTTTCCGAACTGCTAATTAGGCGGAAGCTGGGCTAAAGGCCAGAAGCTCACTCTGACCCGGATTTCGAACTATTAACCTTTCAGTTGGTAAGATTTGCTGCAGCTGTCGATTAACCTGCTGTGCTAAAGCCCCAGTATTAGTCTCCTCTGTAGGAAGGGACAGGGGAGCAGTGCCCCACTCTGTGCCCATCCTGGCATCGACTTCTGTTCAACAGACCTGCTCCGCTGTGGAACCCACTACCTAGGAGCTCCTTCTTTGGAGGCTTTTAAACAGGCTGGGTGGTCATCTGTCAGGAGGGATCGGATTGTGCTTTTCCTGCATGGAAGAAACAGACTGGACTGGATGGCCCCTTGGGGTCCCTTCCAACTCTAGGATTGTCATCATGTTTGGTTTACTGCTTTTTCTTCTTGTATTTGGTATTTTGTTTATTGTAGTCATATGTTCTGTATTTTACTGCGATGTTGTTTATTTTATTGTCATTTGTACCTTATTTTATTTTAATTTGTTGTTTAGGCTTGGTCTCATGTAAGCCCCCCTGAGTCCCTGTTGGGGAGATGGTGGTGGGGTATAAATAAAGGTTATTATTATTATTATTACTAGCTTGGGGACCCGGCGCTGCCCAGGTAATTTGAGAAAGGCATTGGTCTTTATCAGTTATTATGTGGCTCGCAGTGCTCTCAGGAAGTTAGTGAAGGTACTGCAAGTCCCATCGTCCATGGTTCATCTGGCTCCAAACAGCACCAGGATGTAGAGTGGGTGATGGGGGCTCTGTGTGCCAAGTCTGGTCTTGATCAATCATTGGATGAGGATCACAGCAGTCTCAGGAAGTGGGTGAAGGTACTCCAAGTCCCATCATCCATGGTCCATCCTCCAAACCGCACCAGGATGTAGAGTGGGTCATGAGGGCTCTGTGTGCCAAGTTTGGTCTTTATTGGTCTTTGTTGGGGGCCGCAGTAGTTTGTGGGAACCGAAGGGTGGGAAAGTACTACAAATCCCATCATCCATTGTCCATCCTCCCCAAACCTCACCAGGACATAAAGGGGGTCATGGGGGTTATGTGTGCCAAGTTTGGTCTTGATCGGTCATTGGATGAGGGTTGCAGCGGTCTCGAGAAGTGAGTGGAGGTACTTCAAGTCCCATCATCCATGGTCTGCCCTCCTCCAAACTGCAGTAGGATGTAGAGGGGGCCATGGGGACTCTGTGTGCCAAGTTTGCTCTTTATTGGTCTTTGTTGGGGGCCAAAGTGGTCTGTGGGAACCGATGGGTTTGAAAGTACTACAAATCCCATCAACCTTTGTCCATCCTCCCCCAAACCTCACCAGGATGTAAAGGGGGTCATGGGGGTTATTTGTGCCAAGTTTGATCCAGGTCCGTCACTCATGCTGGTCACAATAGCCTGTGAAAGTAGGAGCCAATCAGAAGGCTGCCACATACACCGTCCTTCCTCCGCATACAAACACTGACTTTTATTATATACATAGATAGATTATTATTATTATTATTATTATTATTATTATTATTATTATTGCTATTATGGTGCTTAGCGTGTTTCAGTGGGCTTTGGGGGCATCTTGAGAGCAACAGCCCTGTGAGGCAGGCCAGCGCTGCTCTCCCTGTGCCTTGTAGAGAAGGCTTAACTTTTTTGTGGGGCTCCCTCACCGCCTTGGGAAGAGCTTGTCAGAAATATTAATAAAGTAACTAGGTATTTTTAATTACAAAAATGTGAGTCAAGCACTGAAAAGGTTAAATGGATGCAATGTCTCAGCTAAAGTTCAATATAAGCATGTGTGCCTATAGCTTAGTAGGTGTCAGTCTGTGGGAGAAGGGCCTCAGTGTTAGTTCACCTCAGTGTGAGAGAGGTGTCAGTCTGAGAGATCCCTCAGTGTGTGAGAAGGTCTCTGTGGGAGAAGTGCCTCAGTGTGTTAGTAGGCCTCAGTATGAGAAGCCTCTGTGTTAGTTCGCCTCAGTGTGAGAGAGGTGTCAGTCTGAGAGAGCCCCCAATGTGAGAAGGCCTCAGTGGGAGAAAGACCTCAGTGTGAAGTAGGCCTCAGTGTGAGAACCTCAGTGTGAGAGAGGTGTCAGTCTGAGAGATCCCTCAGTTTGTGAGAAGGTCTCTGTGGGAGAAGTGCCTCAGTGTGTTAGTAGGCCTCAGTATGAGAAGGCCTCTGTGTTAGTTCACCTCAGTATGAGAGAGGTGTCAGTCTCAGAGATCCCTCAATGTGTGAGAAGGTCTCTGTGGGAGAACTGCCTCAGTGTGTTAGTAGGCCTCAGTATGAGAAGGCCTCTGTGTTAGTTCACCTCAGTGTGAAAGAGGTGTCAGTCTGAGAAATCCCTCAGTGTGTGAGAACGTCTCTGTGGGAGAAGTGCCTCAGTGTGTTAGTAGGCCTCAGTATGAGAAGCCCTCCGTGTTAGTTCACCTCAGTATGAGAGAGGTGTCAGTCTGAGAGATCCCTCAATGTGTGAGAAGGTCTCTGTGGGAGAAGTGCCTCAGTGTGTTAGTAGGCCTCCTGGTTCTCTTTCTAGCCAGTCTTCTTCGCAGCATAGGGACACATGGTTTGCTGATGCTCCCAGTGCGCTCAGCTGCAGGTTCTGTGTGGCTTTGGATCAGAGACTCTTGTTGCTTTCTGTTTGCAGGCCCTGGCCTTTCCTTTTGGGCTCTCCAAGCAAGGAAGCTCCATCCAGAGTGATTTGGGGAGATGGGAGAAGGCGGGTGGTAGGTCGGGACCTCTCTGGCCATTCACACAGGACCTGGAGAAGAGGGGGTCACACAGAATTCCGGTCACACAGAATTCCTCGTCTAGCACTGGCTCTGGTTCTTCCTCCTCTTTTGTGTTTTGCAAGGATCCCAGAGTCTCCTGTTCATTGACAGTTCATTGACTGCCTTTCCTTCTGTGGGGTTGGAAGGGCGGATCTTTCCCCTCGGCTGGTCAGACAGGAAGCAGGACAGAGTGAAGACGCCCTGCCTGTCCCTTGTTCTGTTGGTGGATCCTTAAGAAGGCACCACGAGTGGGCCCTTCCCTCCCCACTGCGTGCTTCTTTGCCAAAGGAAGGGGGAGTCAGCCTCCAGGCCCCCCATTGAGGAAGGGCTCCAGGCTACTCTTCTGAGCTTAATGGGGAAGGTGTCGAGGGTTTGCCACCATTGCCTCCCTCTGAGGCTGAGAGAGTGTGTCTCACCCACGGTCACCTGGCAGTCTTCTATGGCAAAGCAGGATTTGAACTGTGGTCTTCAGAGGCCTAGTCCAAGCCTGGATCTTAGTAGTCTCAGTCTGCGAGAGGTCTCTGTGGGGAAAGGGCCTCAGTGTGTTAGTAGGCCTCAGTATGAGAATACCTCTGTGTTAGTTCACCCTTAGACTGTGAGAGGCCTGAGTGTGAGAAGGCCTCAGTGTTAATTTGCTCTCAGTCTGTGAGAGGCTTCTGTGGTAGAAGGGCCTCAGTGTGTTAGTAGGCCTCAGTATGAGAATGCCTCTGTGTTAGTTCACTCTCAGTTTGTGAGAGGCCTCAGAGTGAGAAGGCCTCAGTGTTAATTTGCCCTCAGTCTGTGATAGGCCTCGGTGTGGAAGAAAAGTCACAGTGTGTTAGTAGGCCTCAGTATGAGAAGGCCTCTGTATTCGTTCACCCTTAGTCTGTGAGAGGCCACGGTTTGAGAAGACCTCAATGTTAATTTGCCCTCAGCCTGTGAGAGGTCTGTGGAAGAAGGACCTCAGTGTGTTCGTAGGTCTCATTATGAATAGGCCTGTTAGTTCGCTCTCAGTCTGTGAGAGGTCTCTATGGGGGAAAGGCCGCAGTGTGTTAGTAGGCCTCAGTATGAGAATGCCTCTGTGTTAGCTCACCTCTGCCAACGCTTCTCTGCCTTTGCAGACAGAGAAGCATTTGGTGCCAGGCACTGGCATCATCTCTTTGCAAGGGACCAAGTGCAACTTTGCCTTTGATTTCAGATCTCCATCCCACGGGGAAGAAATGGCTTTGGTTTCACCATCTGCTGCGACTCCCCCGTCCGAGTGCAAGCCGTCGACTCTGGTAAAGACTCCATCGTTTGGGACAGACTGTGCTATGCAGAAGGGCTTACTGCCTGCATTCTCCCTAAGCGCACAGGAGCCTTCCCTCTTTGGGCAATGACCTCCCCAGCCCCAGTAGAAGAGTGCGGCTGGGGGTCTTGGAGAGAGTGTTTCCGCTCCTCCGCCCCCCAATAACCCTGTGGCCCTCTTCTCCCTTCCGCAGGTGGCCCAGCAGAGAAGGCCGGTCTACAGCAGCTGGATACAGTGCTGCAGCTCAATGAGCAGCCGGTGGAGCACTGGAAGTGCGTGGAGCTGGCCCATGAGATACGGTGAGGAGCGAGGGGGATGTCTGGGAGGGCTACCCCAAGGATAGACTAATGGTCTGACTGCTGTGGCCTTTGCTTCTTCAGGAACTGCCCTGGAGAGATCCTCCTGCTGGTCTGGCGCCTTGTCCCTCAAGCCCGTCCCGCCCCCGAAGGGGTCATCCGCCGTTCCTCCTGCAAGTCCACGCTGGACCTTCACTCGCCCCCCAACAAGAGGGAGAAGAACAACGGGGCGCCCAACCGACCCCCGCAGCAGCATCGCCAGAGCTGCCACATTGTCTTTGAGGGGAGCGGCAGCGAGGGGTTAGGGTTCAACCCCTGGGAACGCTACACGGAGCTCGGAAAGGTCCCCCGCCCTCAGCAAAGACCCCAGCCTCAGCAGCAGCGCACCCTGCCTCTTTCCTCCTCTGTACGTGGCAGCGGCGACAAGAACTACATCATCCTGGCCCCCCTCAACCCTGGAAGCCAGGTAGGTGACTCCATGGTGGCCTAGCCCACTCACTTGCCTCCCTGCCTTCTCAGATAAGGCTTAGATGTGAGATGGCCTTCAGGTGGCCCTCAGAGTGTCGCTTTTGCTGCACAGGATGGCTGGAGGATTGTCCCACCTCTCGAGAGTGTGGTTGAAACTCTTTTGGGATCAGGTGGGGGAATCTAGGGCTTCATATGAAAGGTGGGAGGAGCCATGAGGAAGGATTTATACCTTGTTCTTGTTGTTTTCGTTGTTGAGGAAGGTATTCATGCCTTGTTGTTGTTGTTTGTTTATTTATTTATTTACGAAATTCATATACTGCCCTTCTCACCCCGAAGGGGGCTCAGAGCAGCTTACAAGATATATATACATACAATATATTATATTATTAGCATAGTACAATATCAGTGTTAAATATTACGATATTGTACTATACCATTATATTATAATAATGTTATTAGTAATATTACATGTAATATAATGTATAATTTTAATATATTATTAGTAGTAGTACTGTATTGCATTACATATTATATGTATATGCAATATATTATATTATATTATTAGAATAGCACAGGAGACAAGGTGGAACTGTCTTCTGCACCCCTCTCTCAACACTCTGGCCCAGAGCAGCAGTGTGGTGCTGGGGGGAGGGGTCCCCAACTGATGCCATATGCAGGAGACAAGATTGAACTATTCCCTGGCCCCCTCTCTCTTCACTCTGGCCCAGAGCAGCAGTTGGTGCTGGGGGGAGGGGTCCCCAACTGATGACATATGCAGGAGACAAGATGGAACTGTCCCCGGCCCCCTCTCTCTTCACTCTGGCCCAGAGCGGCAGTTGGTGCTGGGGGGGAGGGGTCCCCAACTGATGACATATGCAGGAGACAAGATGGAACTGTCCCTGGCCCCCTCTCTCTTCACTCTGGCCCAGAGCGGCAGTTGGATTCTGGAGGGAGGGGTCCCCAACTGATGACATATGCAGGAGACAAGGTGGAACTGTCCCTGGCCCCCTCTCTCTTCACTCTGGCTCAGAGCAGCAGTTGGTGCTGGGGGAGGGGTCCCCAACTGATGACATATGCAGGAGACAAGGTGGAACTGTCCCCTGGCCCCCTCTCTCTTCACTCTGGCCCAGAACGGAAGTTGGTGCTGGAGGGAGGTTGTTGTTAAGAGGACAGGGTCTCATCAATTGCTTCCTTGGTTTGTGTCCTTCAGCTCCTGCGACCGCTCTGTCCAGAGGGCAAGACCCCAACTGGAGGTAAGGCTGGCACTCCCTTGCTGTCTCTCTGGGGGGGGGGGGGGGGGGGGGGTTGGTGATCCAGAAGGTGTTTGCCTTTTCTGGGGTGAGCGAGGGGAGAATGTCTAAGGAAACCCTAAATGTGAAGAAGCAGAGAAGCCTGAGCCTCAGTCCGTGCGCTCTCCGTCCTTCCGTTGTTCTTCTCCCTTTGGTCTTGTGCCGATCTGGGAGAGTGGCATGTACAAATGATGCGTGGGTGTCTTTTTGCAATTATGAATTAGACTAGCTTGGGTCCACGGCGTTGCCTGGGTTATTTGAAAAAGTCAGTTTGTTAATTGTACAAAATACATAGGGTTGTGGGTGAACTACAACTCCCATCATGCCAGGTTAACCCTGAAAACCTCATCAGTAATTAAAGTTTGTCATGTTGCGCAAGTTTACTCCACGAGGGTTGAATGAAAAGTAATGCCTCCACCTTCGTAACTCCTCAACAATGGCAGTACTGGTATGCGCAGGTACTGGCTTGTTCAGTAGACTCCTCTACAGTTCCATTTTGGCAGGAAGCCTTAGCATTGAACGGTTGTGTTGTTAAAGTGCGAAGTATGGAACCCTGCGCAGACAATTGGTCAATGCGACTTAAGCAACGTGCAGTCATTGAATTCTTGACAGCAGAAGGTGTCATCCCAAAGGATGTGAGTACTGTGCATTATTGGGTGAGTAAGTTTAAAGATGTTGACTTGCGTGACAAACAAAGAGTTGGACATCCTGTGACAGCAACCACTGAGTTTTACAAGCAAAAGGTTGACAGATTGATTCAGGATGATCATTGTATCACTCAGAGAGAAATTTCAAGCATAATCAACATTTCACAAGAACATTATTGCTTTGCTTGGCTATCGAAAGATCTGTGCACGATGGGTACCCAGGATGCTGATGTCTGAAATGAAAGCGCACAGACTTCTTCTGTGACGGCTTCAGAACACTTGTTCATTGTTGGGAGAAAATTATCCAGTTGTGTGGTGATTATGTGGAAAAGTGAATTTGTTGTTGTTCATTCATTCAGTCGTCTCCGACTCTTTGTGACCTCATGGACCAGCCCACGCCAGAGCTCCCTGTCGGCTGTGGCCATCCCCAACTCCTTCAAAGTCAGGTCAGTCACTTCAAGGATACCATCGTCCATCTTGCTCTTGGACTGCCCCTCTTCCTTTTTCCTTCCATTTTCCCCAGCATCATTGTCTTCTCTAAGCTTTCCTGTCTTCTCATTATGTGGCCAAAATACTTCATTTTTGCCTCTAATATCCTTCCCTGAAGTGAGCGGTCAGGCTTATTTCCTGGAGGATGGACTGGTTGGATCTTCTCGTGGTCCAAGGCACTCTCAGAACTTTCCTCCAACACCACAGTTCAAAAGCATCGATCTTCCTTCGCTCAGCCTTCCCTAAGGTCCAGCTCTCACATCCGTAGGTTACTACAGGGAATACCATGGCTTTGACTAGGCGGATCTTTGTTGCCAGTCTGATGTCTCTACTCTTACTATTTTATCGAGACTGGACATTGCTCTCCTCCCAAGAAGTAAGCGTCTTCTGATTTCCTGGCCACAGTCTGCATCTGCAGCAATCTTTGCCCCTAGAAATACAAAGTCTGTCACGGCCTCCACGGTTTCTCCCTCTATTTTCCAGTTGTCAATCATTCTTGTTGCCATAATCTTGGTTTTTTTGACGTTTAGCTGCAACCCGGCTTTTGCGCTTCTTCTTTCACCTTGATTAGAAGGCTCCTCAGCTCCTCCTCGCTTTCGGCCATCAGAGTGGTGTCATCTGCATATCTGAGGTTGTTAATGTTTCTTCCAGCAATTTCCACCCCAGTTTTGCATTCCTCAATCCCCGCACATCCTCGCATGATGTGTTCTGCATACAAGTTAAAAAGGTTGGGTGAGAGTATGCAGCCTTGCCGTACGCCTTTCCCAATCTTGAACCAGTCTGTTGTTCCATGGTCAGTTCTTACTGTTGCTACTTGGTCCTTGTACAGATTCCTCAGGAGAGAGACAAGGTGGCTTGGGATGCCCATCCCACCAAGAACTTGCCACAATTTATTATGATCCACACAGTCAAAGGCTTTAGAATAGTCAATGAAGCAGAAATAGATGTTTTTCTGAAACTCCCTGCCTTTCTCCATTATCCAGCGGATATTGGCAATTTGGTCTCTCGTTCCTCTGCCTTTTCTAAACCCAGCTTGAACATCTGGCAACTCTCGCTCCATGTATTGCTGGAGTCTTCCTTGCAGGATCTTGAGCATTACCTTACTGGCATGAGAAATAAGGGCCACTGTACGGAAGTTTGAGTAGTCTTTCGCATTTCCCTTTTTTGGTATGGGGATATAAGTTGATTTTTTCCAGTCTGATGGCCATTCTTGTGTTTTCCATATTTGCTGGCAAATGGCATGCATCACCTTGACAGCATCATCTTTTAAGATTTTAAACAGTTCAGCTGGGATCCCGTCGTCTCCTGCTGCCTTGTTGTTAGCAATGCTTCTTAAGGCCCATTCAACCTCACTCCTCAGGATGTCTGGTTCTAATTCATTCACCACACCGTCAAAACTATCCTCAATATTATTATCCTTCCTATACAGATCTTCTGTATAGTCTCACCACCTTCTCTTGTCTCTTCAGCTTCTGTTAGGTCCCTGCCATCTTTGTTTCTTATCATACCAATTTTTGCCTGAAATTTACCTCCAATGTTTCTAATTTTCTGGAAGAGGTCTCTTGTCCTTCCTATTCTGTTGTCTTCTTCCACATCCATGCATTGCTTATTTTAAAATAGTTCCTTATCTCTTCTGGCTAACCTCTGGAATTGCGCATTTAACTGGAAAAGTGAATAGTGGTAGTTAAAGAGCACATTCTAAGGATTGTTTCTGCATTTGATTTATTAATATATTCCCATCCAAAGCCAAGTAACGAAGGTGGCGGCATTACTTTCCATTCAACCCTCGTAGATGCATCATGGGTGGGGTTCAGTGTGCTCATCCAGTTCTGCTTGTATTACTATTACTAGTACTACTGCTACTGCTACTATTTCCATTGGAAAATATCATCCAGGTGGACATTTTGGGCGAAGAAAGAGGGCACAGGGAGCATTAACCTGCCGTTGCTACTCTCTTTTGGAGCAAAGTGCCAAAAGAAAGTCCTGCTAAAGCAGCGGTTCTCAACCTGGGGGTCGTGACTCCCAGGGGGGTCGCCTGGCCATTTCGGAGGGGTCGCAAGGCCGCCTCCATTGGCCCCACCCCAAGGGCCGGTCGAGGCACACACCTTCGCCTCACCTTCCACACAGTCTCACCATCTGGCATGGGCGCGAGGTGGGCGAGGGGATCGCGCTTTCGCCATCACCGGGACCCCTGAGCGGGTCACAAGGGGAGTGTCAGACGGGTCACCAAAGACCATCTGAAAACACAGTATTTTCTGTTGACCATGGGGCTTCTGTGTGATAAGTTTGGCTCAATTCTATCATTTGTGGGGTTCAGAATGCTCTTTGATTGCAGGTGAACTGTAAATCCCAGCAACTATAGCTCCCAAATGTCAAGGTCTATTTTCACCAAACTCCACCACTGTTCACGTTTGGCCATATTGAGCATTCATGCCAAGTTTGGTCCAGATCGATCATTATTTGAGTCCACAGTGCTCTCTGGATGTAGGTGAACTATAACTCCAAAACTCAATGCCCATCAAATCCTTCCAGGATTTTCTATTAGTAATGGGAGTTCTGTATGCCAAGTTTAGTTCAATTTCATCATTAGTGGAGTTCAGAATGCTTTTTGATTGTAGGTGAACTATAAATCCCATCAACTACAACTCCCAAATGACAAAATCCCCCCAACCCCCTTGTAGGGCTGCAGCAGCAGCGAGAAATGCTTTCCCAGGAGTCAATAGGAAATGGAGCCGGGCGGAAACGTTGAGTCAGTCCGGCTTATTGTTGGCTGGTCCTTGGGCCACGTTTCCTGCTCTTGCCGCCGCCGGAGGAGAGGAATGGGAAAACAAGGCTGTTCGGCTCCCGGTTCCCACTGCTCTTGTTTGCACTGATGGGAAAGCAAGAGGCCCAACTTTTCCTCTGCACTGCATTTTCCAGGCAGCAAGAGAGTGCCCACAAGGCAGGCCAGACGAGGGGCAGGGTTGGCAGTTGTGGCCCAGAGTACGGAAAGGCTGGCCATCTACCTGGAGGGAGCATAAGGATGATGCACTCTTCCTCAGAGTACTAATGACCACCAGCATTATTATGATAGCTATGTTTAAATATTTGAATGGTTTCACAAGGAAGAGGAGGCAGGCTTCCTTTGTGCTGCTATGGAGACTGGGACTCAATGAAGCCATGGGTTCAAATGACAGGAAAGGAGATGCCACCTGAACATTCAACAGAACTTCCTGATCATAAGAAGAGCTGTTCAACGGTGGAACTCTCTGCGTCAGAGTCCGGTGGAGGGTTCAAAACAGAGGCTGGATGGCCATCTCTTGGGAGGGCTCTAATTGTGCCTTCCTTTATCACAAAAGTGGGTTGTACTGGATGGACCCTGGGGTCTCTTCCAATTCTAGGATTCTATGAATCTACTAGCTGTACCCCCCACGCTCAACCTTCCCTACCTCTTTCTCTCCTTCTTTCCCTTCTTCCTTCGCTCCCTTTTTCTTTTCTTCCTTCCCTTTTCTTATTTCCTTCTCTTCATCCTTCCTTTTCTATCTCCTTCCTTCCCCCCTTTTATTCCTTCTTCTTTCTCTCCTTTTTTCCTTCTCTACCTCTTTCATTCCCTCCTTTGCTTTTTGCTTTCATCCTTCCTTCTCTCTTTCCTTCCCTCCCTCTTTCTCTCCTTTCTTCTTTCTCTTTCCTTCCATTTTTCTTTCCTTCTCTCCTTCCTTTCTTGTCTACCTCTTTCCTTCCCTCCCCATTTTCTTTTCTTTCTCCTTTCTCTGCTTCCTTCCTTCACTCTTTGCTTCTTTCTTTCTTTCTTTCTTTCTTTCTTTCCTTCCTTCCTTCCTTCCTTCCTTC